GAGGAATCCGGCTCCCCCAATTCCCCTTACCCACAGCTATGTTGCTTGCTTCAATTAGGGCAGACTGGACTGGACAGCAACGAAGTACCTTTAAGTGTGATCACTGATTAGGTTTATGTAGCTCTCGCTCAGCCAGTGGGTGTGGGCCGAGGTTCAGCCAAAGGTTGGTAATGAAGCTGCTGTTGCAAGTGGTGCGGTATTAGCCAAGGAATGTGGTTCGATGCTTGTTTTCCAGTCCGACAGGACAGTGAACCCTTAACGGACTAGCGCTCTTAAAGAGCAAGAGAAGAATATACTAAGATAAGGAGTAAGAAGTTGGAATAAATTGCGAGAGACAAACGATGTGAGAGCATAAACTGGAGTACGCGCAAAGATAAAGTTTTTTAAATTGACAAAACAACTTGTTAATATTAAACTTAATCCTGCACAAAAATCTGTATGGCTTACTTAAACTCATGAAAATCGCAGAGTAGGGCAATATTTGAAAATACGTCCTTTAACTTGCTCCCTAGATACGAACATTAAAAGCAATATTCAGTGAAAAAATAAACTGAGAAAATATGAAGTAATCAAATTGTTAGGCAAGTGGAACATTTGAAAAGAATAGGCTAGAAGAAGACTGCAATTCGATCCATTGTGATAGAGTAAGGACCAAGACAATGCTTTCTAGTTAGGCTATTGATGCAAAAGTAAGATACAATCTGAGTGTAAAGGTTTTGCACAGAAAGTGAATGCCAAATGAGAGAAAATTGGGAACTTTTTTGAATATCTATTTATTTTGATGATTCATTCAGCTTAAAAGCAACGTACACTCACAGCTTTTAGAACCCCTGTTTAAAGAGCTATTTAGCTGCAATCCCAACTTCAGACACAGCCTTTCTCTTCGAGCGACTTTCATTTGCCTCTGCTGCAAGCCATAAAAATCACTTTCGTAAATCAAACATCTGCACATTACCTATAAGTAAAGTCATAACAGCAAATGTACCGTAAAACAAACATGTAGCCAGCACTTAGCCATATAAAGTCATAAATGTATGGAGGTAAAGGAAAGCACTTTGTAGAAATGCCGGCAGAAAAGCAACGTCAGCTGCGGCAGCTACAACAATGGACAATGAACAACAACAATCGCGTCATAATCGTTTGTAGCGACTAATTTATGATCTTAATGGCGGCTAATTAACACCATTTTCCACAATTGAAAGATTTTCCATTAAATAAAACACTTTATGGAATTGCCTAGCAACACGCAGGCCATGCCCAGTACCTCGCAATGGGCAACTCATCCGCACAAGTCGCTGCGCTTCTCGCTCGACTGGGCTCCTGGTCACCCAGTCTCCCGGTCTCCCATTCCCTCAGTGGGCACGGCAGTCGCGGAAGTACTACTCACAGCTCACAGCTCGCAGCTCAAATGGAGCAAAACACACAAAACGCTAGCCAAGAAGTGCAAACAAAGCAGACCCCAAATGCTGGGACAGGGCCCGAGCTGGCCAGGAGCAGCGGCGTCTGCTGCAAATTGACGGCGCTGCGGAAAGTGGACAAAAGTTGCGCTGGCGATTCTTAACGCATGAATGGCAAAAGGCGGCACATCGAAGAAACAACTAAACGAATAGAAATAAAAAGTGTTGAGCGAAAAGCATTTGAAATGCATTTCGAATGTTTTCTCAGACCCAAAGGCAGAGGCACTGCCCAACTGTCTGCTGACTATTGGGTGTCCAATCGCTTGTGACGGACGAACCGAACCGATGCGATCTCCAAGGCGGCGGCGGCGGCGGCGTCGGCACAGTCACAGCTGACAACTCACTGAGCGCGCAATGATTAATCGCGCAATTGTGCGCCCAATGGCCAAAGATACAGCTAAAGGCTATAGGCAGCAGGCAGCAGGCAGCCGGCAACAGCTACAGATACAGATACATGGCCACGATAGAGACTCAGTTGGTCGGCGATGTGCCTTCTGTGCCCTTTTCTGCTAGCCTTACGGTTTTTAATTGCAATCAAAAGTGTTGCCGGAAGCCATTTACAAAAGCTGTCACCAGAGTGCGGCCGGCCACTTTTATCGGAATCAATCAATGAATCCAATATACGACTTTACGAATTTACGCTCTGATTGAAGAGCGCAACGCGTTCCATTTGGTAACCTAAGCCCTTGCCCCCACGCAATGATCGACGACCCGCATTGGGTCAAGCAGCCGCTTAACCTACGGCCAACACCCAGCAGCACTTCAAGCGTGGCATGTAATTGAATAAAAGCTGCCCCAAGCTGATTAAAATTCCAATGCAACATACAGTTTTTTTTCTCTCTCTCACTCTCTGCCTCTCTCTTTTTTTTATAACGTTGTAAACATGCAGCGGTCTGCAGACATGTCGCTCGCTCGCAGCGGCACCTGCAGCATCAGGCAACCAGGCAGGCCATGATTAAGGTCTGGTCTATATCACGGCATCCCAGAGCGCTTATCAGCTGCATTGCAATCAATGTGCTGCGCTCCAAATTGCCAGAGCAAAAACTGCGATCGATCTAAGCCAACGATCAACGATCAACGCCAAGAGCCACAGCATAGAAAGTGATGGCAACAGAATACAGAGGGGGCACAGCAAAAAAAAAAGGTAACCACAACAAAATTGTTGCTCAACAAGGACGCAACATGGAGACCGACATTCTAGCAACGTCTCTACCAACGATCGCCGGCGGTGACATCTTGTCAACTCAAAAATCATGATCAACAAAATGTTCTGGGGCTGGGAGATCTGGCCTGGCTAAGTCTGCCAGCGGGCATGTCGCCAGCCATGGGCCTGGACAATTCCCGAGCGCACGAACAATTCTATTGGCAGGCTGGGTGTACGAGATCATCTCTATCGATCGTTACAAACAGGCAGCGGCAGCTCTTGACAGCAGCCCGGTAGGTTCACACATAAGTGAGGCATCATTCAAGACGTCATTGGAAGCGATTAAAAGGCGCACACACTTTTTAAGGAGTTGCTGTCGCCGGTGGTCTTATGATCGTGTCCAACCATTGACACACATGCAACAGCCGAACAGTCTCTGGCTCGGTCACCTGTCAGCATCCATAATCAGGCCAAATATCAAAAACTGAGCCCTGTTCCAAGTTGGAGGCGGGAGACGATCGATCTTCAGCTCTTGTCAGCATCACGATCTGATCAAATATCAGCAGGTCACTATGTAATATGAGCGCTCGCGTATATTTTGGCATTTAACTGTTCGTCTGATTAAAGAATGGAAAAATTTCTAATCCAAATAAATTCGATAGATATGTGAAGCTTCTATTGAAGTCTTTTGGCGAAAGCTTTGACAAATAGAATTAAAAACTTTTAATAAAATAGACTCTACTATTTTTAAATAGGAAGAATAGTATAACCTGGGACTCGCCTGGAATTCAAAACGGGATACTCGTTTTTCAGTTGCCCAAATACCTGCTTCACTTAGCTTATCTAACCTGGACTGCCAGTTAACCTCTTTAATTTTTATGAACATGAAGCCAAATAGTCTTTCTTAATTTAAAAGATAGCCGGCTCTTATTTAATTTTACACTAAATAATAACAATAAAATGTTAAGCTCTTACCGTTTAATTTTAAAGCGAACCACACTAAATGGAAGCAGATGAGGCTCTAAACCAGTCGACAGCAGCGTCTAGAGGATCATTGCGTAAATCTTCAGCGCGATGCAATGCAACGGTTATAAACCAGCTGGCAGGCTAGTTACCGATTTATTGATTTTAATTGCAACCCGAGACGTTTATACGCTATAAGAATGCGCAAAAGGCCCGAAACTACGTGGAAAACTGGCTTGCAGTCGATGCTGGCTGACAGTGGCCATAGTTTTGGACAAGTTGAAAACAAATACGAGTACCACAGCGATCTAGACAGGGCGAGAGAGCGGTAGGGAGGCGAAGAGGATATTGCTTGGCATTCGTTGCAGGCTCAGACGGGGTGGACGGGATCCCACAGAGCGTGGGGCATATCATGACATTTTATTGTGTTGTCAGACGGAAAAGTGCTTATTACGCATGCGCGACGGCATCCGCAGCGACGTCAGCGGCGCTGCCTTTAATTGTGGGGTGCCCGAAGAGCCGAACCTGGAGGATTGGCCAGGCTAGGCCAGCCGAGGCCAGTCCAGGCCACGTATATGTTGTCGTTGTTGTTTACGCTAGCGATTGTTTTACAAATTAATATTATTTTATGATATCGCGTTTGTTTTGCTAATTGTTGCATGTGTGGCGCAGATAGCATTTCAAGCCGCCAGCTAGTCTCACCGACAGACAGTCGGACAGCTAGTTGAATGTATATGGACATGGATTCAGCATAGAAGAAGAAACAACCGTCCGGTAGCCGGTGCATTTTGACAGTTTTACGAGCTCGAGCAGCGTTGAAATGAATACCTGCCTGGCCGAGAGACCGTCCTCCGCTCTGGTGCCACGAGTGAATTGTGGCCATGTCCATGGCTAGGAATGTGCCAGCCACCCAAACATAGGAAGCGTCTAATGAACGCGTTGGCCCGACCACAATAAATTGATGCTACAAAAATCTAATTTTGGACTAGCCCAACGGCTGCTGGCCACGATAGCTGTTGGACATATATACTACCTAAAATTTGCATCTATCCTGTAACACTCTATCTTGTCCTGGGTCAAGTCAAGCGTAGTTAAATTCGCATCCATTTTCAAGTAGTACTCCATCTTGGTGCCGGGCTCAACTCGAGCGTAGTTTTCTGATAAGTCTTGAGGTTTAGGCCTTTTGCAACATTTCATTTCCCGCTGCCATTGCCCATTTCATTGGCAGCCTTTTGCGATAAGTTTTCACACTCTGTTTTCCCTTAATTGTCAAAGGTTGCTTTTATCTTTATGGCAACAAAAGCAACAATGGCAACAACAACAATATGACAATGACTTTGGCAGACAGCTTGGCTGCTACGAGGGGCACACTGGCCGAACAGTCCCTGGCTGAACTGTCAACTGTCAGTCAGTCAGTTGGATTGGTCGACTCCTCGTCTGGCTGTGCCTTGCTGCATGGCTCGACGTGCAACTGGACATCAATATGGAACTATGTGGCACTCTCCATGCCCTCTCTGTCTCTTTCTAGCTTTCCTTTCGACCGTTGCCTGTAGGTTTGGAGCATGTTACTTTGCCTGCTGATAACTGATATTTGACAACTTTTGATGTGCTGACATTGACAGCGGCAGGCGGCCCTTCGTCTGACTGTGCGCAGATCCCTCTGGTATGCGTATGAGTGTGTGTGTTGTCTGTGTGTGTTGTGTATGCCTTTCTGTGTATCGGATATTTAAGAAATTGGACAGCTGCTTCGCAGAGCGGCAACTGGTTGCCATGCAAAAGAGTTATATGAAGTTTTCTTTATTTATAGCTGATAGCCAACGCTTAGCTCTCAACTGTCGCATACGGATAAACCATCTAGCATTTTAAGTAGACAGCTATAAATCTGAATAATATTTACAGGTAAGCTTAACATACGGTTATTCGCATATTTGTAAAACAAATCAGAATGTCGTCTTATTACGAACTATCATGAACTATATTTTAGCAAATATCTTTATTGAAAGCTATAGCTGCCTGTGTGTAGTTTCGCGCCTGGTAGGCAGCTCAATGAAATGGGCAACTTAACGTGAAACATGACAATAAACCCAGTTTGGTGTATGATCGTTTCAATAACAAGCTCTTGTTTTTATGCCATCTTCCAGCAGCTGAAGGCGCAACAGACTTTCCAGTAATGATTATGGCCAGAGGAGGCAAAGACCGTTAAAAAGCATCTGCGTAATATGAGTGGAAAAAGCGTTTTATTGAAATGAGCAACGATCGAATTGTGGTCCAAATGAACTCGTTCTCATTGAAACAACAACAGCAACAACACGGGGGCAACATGCAATTTGGCTGAAACTCAAGCTGGATCTTTGAAAGCACCGCGCCAACATTTAACGAGGTGGTCAAGATTGTGCCAAAAAACGTTGGGTAATTACACGACAGAACTGTGCGTGCTTACACACACACACTCTCTCACAGACACAAACACAGACAGCTATAGTTCATATATGATATGAGGCACTTTGGCTTGCCGTTTAAGTTGATGAATATGAATTTTGTGGCAGCGTTTTATGGGTCTGCTCTTAAAAGGGGGGGAGTTAAATCAGCGGCAGGCACTTGATTGCACTTGTCAGTAACAAAGAGTTTCGCCATAATTTAATGTAACGATTTTACTACTAGCTCAACTACTTGGAAAGTTTTCTAATTATAATGAGCCTGGGCACAAGCAACATCATCATGTCAATTGGCGCGTACCCGAATAGTGAAGAGTTTCAACCTAATTATTAATAAACGCCAACGTTGGATGTCATTGTCGAGCAGTTGCTGTTGTAGTAGCAGCAGCTCTCAGCTTGGTCGCCACCGCCGCCTCCCCACCTACTGTGAAGTGGCTGTCATCATTTTAATGCCAACTCGTTACTTTATTTATCATCAACATCATTTCGAGCTCAACGCTGACAAGCAGACAGTAGCCGAGGCAGTAGCTGCAACTACAACTTTACGTAGAACCTAGAGGGAACCAACTGCAAGCGGTGTATAGACAAAGGGGGCGAACGGAGGCAGCCCAGCGCCCGTAACATTGACTACGGCACAGATAAAAGCCTTTCCATGTCGCTTCAAATTTAAGTTTTCAATTAAAAAAGACATAAAATGCTCTACTACCAATGTGTCCGTATGTGACTGTGTGTGTGTGTGTGTGTGTGTGTGTGTGTATCTATGAGTGACGTAGCTGAAGCAGCGACGACTTCGTCAGCGGCACAAATATTGTAAAGTAGTTTGACTTTGACACAGGCGTCATAACTGTTTTAGTGTCGTGCAGGGAACAAGCTGGAAAAAGTGGTCAGTAGAAAAACAGAGGAAGGGTAGGCCAATAAGGTAGGCACTTATGCCAGGAAAACTTATGCTCCACAACACAGTCAGTACCTAATCTGTTCGCAGTCAACTACATGTTTCGAAATACTATTTGATAGATCAAATCAATCAAATTAAATTAGATATATATGTATCAGAAGCTCACGTCTATATTACCCTCAAATATATTCTAAATAAAATAAAAATATGTACTTACCCAAAATTTCATATGCACACAGACGATAATTTTATTGGCTCCTATGCAGGAGGAAGATTTATAATTCACATCGCTAAAAGAAGAACAGATGTAAAGATCGATTAAAGTAAGTTCAGGAAAGGGTAGTAAATTGAGAGAGGGACTTTAAATATAATAAATTTAATCAAAACATGAAAACCTGTTAGGCTTACTCGATATCATGAGAATCGCATAGTAGAGCGTTTTCTTAAATTAAAAAAAAAAACTTGGTATAAAAGTATTCCAACCTTCGAAATCAAACAGACAATACCAAAAATAAATAAGCAGATATTGATTTTCTTATTTATTTTCCTTAATTTTTTCTCAGAATAATAAAAACGTATTTTGGAAGCCCTAGGCGAAACAATTTTTCACAACTTTCAAGGATTCTCGAAGAGAAGCCAAAGACGGTCAGAGTTGCGCTCATTTGCATCTGAATTAAAGCATCCACAGCTCTTCCATATTTTGCCGACAGCAAATTTAACATTTTATTATTGTTTCTTCAACTTGGTACCGTTTACATTCCGAAAGCTCTGCCAGGCGTCGGCATCAACATTATCATTTAGAAAAAGTTAAGCAAATGTGTAACATTTATTAAGTTTTATGACTGCATTCGGTCTGAGAGGTTGAAATTTGTATTTTTTAGGCGCCCGCAATTTGCTTGATATGTAAATAACTAAATTTTTGTTTTCAACACATATTTTTCTTATACATTTTATTGCCCAGCTTTTCACGACATAGCACACAAAATTAATGCAAACTGGACACCAAAATGTTTGAACTTTTTTCTCTCCGATAAAAGATCTAAATAGCGGCCCATTGTGCGGGTCTGGGAAAGTGTGGCTAACGGCCAATTGTACAGAATTCATTGTTAGACGACGTTAGACGGCCATTCAAGCTGTCGTGGACTCAACTTGGGGAGTTGAGGCCTTGTGGCTGATTTTGAGCTAAAAAGATAAAGACAATTATTATCGCCATTATCGCCAGCATCTGTTGTTGTGGTTGTTGTATTGAGGTTGCCGTTGCTATTGCCACATCCTACAGTGGAAAATGATATGCTGGTTCTGCTATCCAATGCAGTCGCCGTCGCATACAAATTGGCAATAACCATCAATTGGCAGCCGGAGCAGCAGCAGCTGGAGTCGGCTAAGCCAAAGGTGCCAGTGCCAGTGCCAGTGCCAGTGCCATGGCCATGGCCATAGCCAGTGCCAGGTCCAGTGTTTGCATTAGAATGAGCTATGCCAAGGCTAGGAACAGCACTCGCATTGGCGGAATGTCGATTACAGTTTAACGCATCCATTGATTTGCTTTCTTTGGCTCTGTTCTTAAGTCTTTGTATTGCAGATCGTGTTGTGATCAGCGAGCATAATTGTATTTTTGGCATTCGATGCTCGATTCAATGCAATTTGGACAAATGGCACTCGCCATCTGCATCTGCAACTGCATCCGGCCCAGTCGGTGTCCATTGTTCGCCTTCGATTTGCTGTCGCGGCTTCTGTTGTTGAATGTATAGCATTCTTGGCAGCGCATAATTGTAGACTCTGGTATGATAATTCCCAGCCAGACAAACATTACCTTAATGCCGAGAATGTTTAACTAAATGCTAGATATTTCAAGAGCTTAACTGTCGATAAGCGTTAAATGCTTATGGTCACAAGCCCAATGGATTGATAAGAAGCTACTACAACTACTTTTAGATATTAATTAAAACAATATATGTGAGTACATAGCATAAATAGGCACCTAGTAATTCGTTATTTTTATTTAAGTAATCAAACTATATTGGGTGGCCGTATTGATAACGCAGGCCATCGAGTCGCACTGGGGTGCGGCATTGTGGAAACTTTCCCAGTTATTGTAGACAAGATCGTATGCACTTGTCGTCAAAGAGAAGGCCACATGGCAAGGACACCAGACGATGATTGCCAAACGAAGTCCGTTTATCCAGGCATAAGGTGCAAATGAAATTGTTCCCTTCATTTGTTCCATGGCCAGCTCCAGATCACAGCGTTGTCTACCTTTTCCTCAATTTCACTGATGCGTTGGAATTTTAGTTGTTCCATTTGATCTAAATGGGCTTTCCTTTGCCGTCAACAATTGCTTGCGAACTTCATACTTCTCAGAGATCAGCTGCTGAATCTCTTCAGCTCGAATTTTCTTTAATTGTGCCATAGCAGTCACCTGTACCTCCATCCGACGGTAAAGGTTCTCTATAGGCCGTGGCTCATAGTTTAAATCATCTGCATGTTGTCTTTGTTCTTCAAATTGTTGCATCTGAAGTTGCTCAAATTTAACAGACAGCTCATTCACTTCTTTCTTAAACCTCTTCTAAGTTTTGATTATTTTATAACGAATTAAAATTCAATAAAAATCTGAAACAAAAACTCCCGACAGTTTAACAAATTTGGCAATGAAGCGGGCACCTAATTGCAGAAAATTACGCAGTCGCTCGTTCGCAGTCTGGCAACGCCCGCTGACAAGTGTGTCCATACATTGTGACAATTAACAACCAACAATAGGCAATTTCATTGCTTATAGTGTGATTACCTTGAATCACTAACCAAACAGCATGCTGGTTAGTGCTTGAGTACAGGCACACACATGACCTTATTTGAGTGCAGATCTGTAAAGCTGTGCAGTAACATAAATGTAATATTGCTTTCAAACAAGTGTTCTTTTATGTGTAACATTTTCCCATTAGAAATAATGTATTCCAGGTAGCTTATAGCGTTTCCAGATAAATATAGAAGGCATCTAATTTAGTTAGATTTTCATTTATTTTCGGTATTTCAATTCAGCAAGTTACCAATATTCTTTATTACTTTAAATTATTTAGTGATTACTGTGATACTGTGATTAGGAAACAAAATATTTTCATGTGCCTTCGACATGTCCTCCTCGCCGCACTTTGAAACTGCTATAGATTACATTTTAATGGTTTATAGTGGGCGGCCATAGAGATAACGTATATAATCCGTTCTGGATGGAGCTCTGCATTGGGGACACTCATTCAGTTGCTGTAGGCAGCTTCGTATGCATTTGTCACCAAAGAGATGGCCACATTGGAGTGACACCAAACGATGATCACTCGAAGAATTCCATGGATCCAGACATATGGAGCAAGAGACGCTGATGTCGTTATGGGTCTTGCAACGCTCTATTTCTTGCTCTAACTCCAAGCATTGTCTATCCTTCGCTTCCAGCTCCATTTTTAGTTTCAACTTCAGTTGATCCATCTCCTGCATATGGGATTCCTCTTGTCTTTTCAAGTCGGCTAGTAATTGCAGACGCATTTGGTCCTTTTCCAATAATTTTTGATCAAATTCTTGGGATTGCAAGACCTGTATCGTTTTAATGGAAGCGACATGCTCATCCATCTCACGGCAATAGTTCTGTAGGGATTGCAGCTGTTCCTGATTCTGAATCAGCACGGGTTGGTTTTGGAATTGAAGATCCTCAACTTTTACGCAAAGCTCACTAAGTTGCTTTTGTAATTCATTTGTGTTTTTCAATATTGTGTTATAAGGATCTAGCTCCTCCGTTTTCTCCTCTGTCTCCAAGTCACACTCTTTTTCAATATTTTCCTCTTGCATTGATGAAAGCTCTTCTTCGCCATTGGAAAGTGCCATTTTTGTATTTTATAGAAGGTCGGATCTGTAATTATGCATTTGCAAAAACAAAGTAGACATGTATTTTAAAACACGGGATTCCCCTTTGGAAAGAAACCTTGTTCTTATGTTTTACTTTGTCTCAACGTTTCAAGGAAAACACGTATGTATGTGAATTTATACTCGTACATAAAATGTGTATATGTACATACATACAAGCACATGTATGTACTTATTTGCATAAACCGCATACAAACAAGACTCGGAAAGAAATGAATAACTGTGATTATAACGATTATTATATTGAATAATTAAACACTATTAAGCTCACTGCATACCTCTATCACTTTAAATATTTGCATAAACCGGCTTTAATTAGATCCAAACAGCAAACGCTCGCACTCGACACTATGAAATTATGAAAGGTGATGCCATATTAACGAAACGGGGCTGAACTTTGCTTTTGAACACATCAAAGGGCTCATCAATTTAGGTACTCACTGGCTGCAAACTATTGTGTGGCAACGCCGATCATTTTCTTATCTTTTTCTCTTTTGTTTTAAGAGAACTTTTATTTGGTCAGAAACATACACGAACAATGTGTGAAAAACTGAGTATTTTTTCTTAAAATAAAATTACACATAGTTAATGTGATGATTTATGTAATTTATTTAAACGAATTAGTATGGGTTGCCATAGATAATACGTATGTCATTCAATGCTGCAGGAGCTCTGCATTGTGGGCATACTGCACGTTCCTCTAGACTGCGGCGTACACACTTGTCGCCAAAGAGATGACCACATTTCAAGGACACCACGCGATGTTCACCAGACAATTTCCATTCATCCAGGCATATGGAGCATGAAACTTTCTGATCAGAGTTGTCCTTCAGCTGCTGTTGGGCCTGTACAATTCGCGTTAGCTCCAACCAGTGTTTCTTCCTCATCTCGACTTGTTTTTGTAGCTGCATATTTTTTTCCCTAACTTGCTGCAAATTGCTTTTCTTATGCACTAGAAGAGTACCTAAATATTCCGTACGCGTACTCTGCTTTTCCAATGCTTGCTTCTGTAACTTTCTGTACATAATATTCACCATCGTCAGAATGGAGGAAAATTCCTTATGCATTTGATGGCTGAGGCTCATTAGGTTATCGTTGGCATCCCGAAATATTTCTAAGGACTGCTCTTGATTTCCAGCATACGGCTCAGGTAGGCCTTTGAAGTACACCTGTTCAACTTTTGAGTGCAGCTCCCGAACATTTTTTCTTATTTCATCCGTTTCAGCTGTAAATATTTGCACAGAATTTAATGATTCTTCTTCCTGTGCTTTTTTGATATTTTCTGATTTCTGCATTTGACCCGCTTCGCGTTGCTGTTGTATTTGAACAGCATTTCGCGTTTTCGTCATGCGTTCTCGAATCGATAATAGCTCCAATCTCGTATAAGACGGCATTTTCCAAATTTATGTTTTTTCGGTTCTATTCCTGTGTTACCTGGGCCTTAGGCCTGTCACAAACACGTCTTTGTAAAGTTATTTAACACGTTAGTGATGTACGAAAACATCGAAAGCGTTGTATCGATTTATTTAAACGGTGTATAATTCGATTTTTTCTTATCGTCGGACATCAAATAGTACATGCCCAAGATAACTGCCATATAATCTTTCACTAGAGCTCCAAACTTGGGTAGAGAAGGCATTTTTAAGTTGTCTTCAATTTCCGTTGACCTTACTGCGCCTTGAGGCTGTTATAAACTTGCATTTGTATGAAACTAAACATATATACAGTTGTATGAATGGGTAAACATTCGCTATTATAAGTGTTGCCACGTTGATCAAAACAAAGATGTGTAAAAGCATTTTGTTTTATAAATTTGAGTACTCACTGGTAGGAAATGTTTGTGGAGTGGTTACACCGACTTCGAAACCTTCCTTTAAGGTGTCAGCTACTTTTCGAGAGCCTTTTCTGAGTTTTGCAAAAAAACTCCTTGATAATTATTTGCTTCAACCAACTTAAAAGTATGTTCGAGTGTGGTTAGTTTGGTAGTTTTTATAAATCCTTCTTTTTCAGGTATGAAACCAAAAAGTTCATTGGCTGGCGGTCCTCCTGCAAAACAACTACGTGGACAAGAGTCGGAGAATAAGCTTAAGAAGGAACTAGAATCTTTGATTAAAGAACGCAATGAACTCAAATTGAAATTATCTACTGCCGTATACGAAGTGGAGTTAGTGAAGTCGGCTTCATTGAAATTGGAAGAAGCATATAATGCTTGCATAGCCGGATTACAAACAGGCATGCGAGTCCTAACCGAAATGCTGACAGGTTCAAAATCGCAATTTGGGGGTGGTAAATTAGACAACATAAACCAGAAATTGTCCGAGATTCTACAACAAACCAAAGAATTGTGCGTTTCTTTGGATGCGGTGCAGAAGCCGCTCCAACCTGAATGTCGTTGCCAAAGAGGTGAAATTGAGAGTTTGACCATAGCACAAAAACTGTTGGTTGAGGAATTCGAACTGAAGATGTTCGAAAAGGATCAAATAAGACTTAAGCTCCAGGCAGACCTAAAACTTCAAGACGAAGCCCATTTGAGGAAAGTGGAGGAACTAAAGACGGAAATTGAGGGTCAACATCGCGTTAATCCCAATTATATAACATGCTCGATATGCCTCGATACATGGTCTTCATCCGGTAGCCATCGTGTGGTCTCTTTGGCATGCGGACATGTTTTTGGGGATATGTGTATTCGCGTACATTTGAACCGTTGCATTGAGTGTCCCTTATGTCGAGCTCCAGCCGATTCAAAGGACTTGCGTTATCTATTCCTGGAAGGAGCTCACACTGAATAAAGCAAATGCTTATTATATTATATCAGAGATTTGAATAATAAATTGAACAAACATACGTATATGGCTGACAGGAACTTTTAATGGGCTGACAAAATGCTAAATGGACTTCCCTCCTAATAGACAATTCATCAATTCAGCGCCCTTTAACAAACTGTCAACTGCAGTTGTGTGTTGTGGCATGCCCCAGCGTTCCATTAGCCATCAGAATCCCAAGTTCCAACGCATCGCTAGGCCCTCGATAATTGCGCTGTCACTTGGCTGAAGACATGGCAATTTGTGGGCATAAAAGCGCGCAAATTTGTTATGAGTTCTCTCTCCTGCCCCGGCTGGTGTTCGAGGAGTTGGCACTGTTTGCCCATTCTGCTGCCGGTCCTGCTCCGGCCGCTGATGCTGATGGCTGTTGATGAAATGGAAATGCGAGAGACTCGCGAGTTCTTCGCATTGAAATCCATTTAATCGAGCCATCATACAGTTCCATAGTGCCGTCCACTTCCCTCCTCCAGCCACGTGTTCACGTCGCCGTTTGTTGATTTATGAAATACTTGCCGGCTCGCAAATGAAAATCCATTGGCCATCGTACGATTTGAGTTTGTTTAACTGCGAGTACGAGTGTATTTGTATCTGGTTGCCATCCGCTTTGGTTTATTGCCGAGTGGCCCAATGCTCAAGAGCTCGCACCGGGGCTGGTCATGCGCTCAGCGCTAAGCAGCCAAGAGGCGTTGCACATAATTTGCTTTGATCTGTTTCGCATTTGGAGAGCTGTCAACTGGGCAACACAGTTGGCAACGGGAGACACAGACACAAACGAAGACGGGGACGGCGCGGCCTGACAATAGAAGCTGGCCGAGCATTCCGATTAGAGCATGCTGTTTGGCGTAGGCTTTAATGCCAATTGGACAGTTTTTTGCAATCAGCTGGGCCGTCAAAATTAATTTGTTATAATAACAAATTGAAAGTGCCCATAAAACGCTTTGAGCTCACCATCAGAGCAGCTGGAAGTCTTTGGTGTCAGATTGTTGTTTAGCTAACTATGATAAGTGCAGGCTGCGTTAGTATATAGTATCTTTAAAGCTCTTCATACAAGTTTCAGAGCTGTGGACCTCTCGGTGTTCAGCTGAGTGCAACAACAAACTTATGTTAATTTCATTAAGCTCAACGTGACCTTTCCCATTCGCTACAAATATTGTTAGCGAATATTGTTAATATACGTTTCTTTGTGTACGTATCTTCAATTTGTACTTTAGACCATCGACAAAATCTAAAACAAACACTTCACAAAATATGAAAGCGCGTCACGTTTTAAAAACTCTTTAAGTGGTTTCAGCCAAATGAATTTTATTTCGGCCTCGGGGCCCACTAAGAAACTGTAACAGACGTTGGAAATATGTTAAGAAAATAAAAAAACAAATCTTCAGCTTCAGATGTGTAACAAATTGGAGCTCAGTTCAAGCTGGGCCAAGCCTTCATAGGAATCATCGGTTGTCATTATCAACGTGATAAGCCACTGGGATCAAAATATTGCTATGCTCGTACTCATGTGCCCACCACCAGTTCTGAGTCCCGTCACCTTTTTCTTTTTTTTTTTGGTTTTGTCAGTCCCCCCGCCTTTGAGATCCAGAGATCGCAGCTGTCAGCTGGCGGTCAGGCTACGAAATACTTCGAATGCACTTGAGACATTTCTCTTGAACTTCAACGCCTGCCAGGCCGCTGTCAAAATATTTCAATGAGTTCTTTTTTTTTCGTCGCTTTTATCACTGGCTCTGTGGGTCTGGGGACCTGGGGGTACGGGCTCGGGATTGGGCATGAAGCGCAACTTGTTGTGCGGTCTTTTGATGAGATCTCAATATGACGGCTGTCTGTCCGCTGACATTGCGACGCGTCGTGTGTGTTTGTAGGGAGCAGTTTGTTAGACAAATTAAATCTGTTATTTTCAATTTCCAATACACACACACACACACACACGCAAACAAACAACACAACAACGATAAGAAGTGGCTTCTAACTAAGTGAAACTCGTTCTGTGCTCTGTGCTCCAGGGCTAGCGTATGGTTATGGCCATGCCCACAGAGCTGCATTCCCATGTCGCGCGGTAACCACACGTTGATCGGGATCGGCCACGGGATCGGGTGATCGGATGATCGCAACGGCAAACGCTGCCAACATATTCTTGTATTTATAAGGTTTCTGTCATTTCTGTTAAGGATTGAGTTATTTGCTTGCCTGGGCCACAGTCGCCAGCGTCTCACCATGCGCCTTCGGGATGTTGTCACTTTTTTGTTCGCATGCTGAAAATGCGCTTGTTGTTGTTGTTGTTGTTCATTGTAAGGCGATACTCTACGCATTGATTGTATAAGATAAGCCCAGGTATGAGGTGTACATAATGCAAATATTTGAATAAATCAAAGCTGGCAATTTAAATGATCCGAAATAAATAAAAGAGAAGCCGCACCAAGCTCATAATTGCAAATTTATGTATCCAAAAATATATGGAAATCGAAAAGGAGTAAGGACGAATTGCCATTCGACATGGGAATGCGTACATGTACATATTAGATTTAATTCTCGGATTCAATCAAAATGTTTAATTGGCAATCAGAAAACACATATCGATTATGTTCTTAGCTAAATTCTCAATTATCGGATACCATTTTGACCACGTGCTCGGGGCAACAAAGCAATTTCAATCTGATAAATGGCAGCTGCACTCAAATATTACGAATATTATAAAATTTGCACATTGCGAAACTTGAGCAAACAATAAAATGGCAAATTAAAGCTGCTGGGTAAACATTTAATTGTTATTACATGGCAATAAGAAAACAAGCCGAGCAATAATAATAACAAACTAAGCCCAGAACTGAGGAAACTTGATAAAATTGCAATTTCAGTTAGTTTCGCATCGGCCTCTACCGCTGGAACTCTGGACCAGCATTTATTGACACTCGTCTTATCATAACTAAAATCATTTGCATGTATTGCAAACATGGCAAACAACAACAAGAACAACAACGGCCAGGACCAAAGGCAATCGGAACAGGATGAGGTACGTGTCGCCTGGTCGCTGGCAAACATGAAAATTCAATAAGCATAAGAATTTCGAATTTACGATGATATTAACAATAATATTGCAGTTGTCGCAATGGGCGCTGAGGGCGCAACACGAGATGCCCAACTGGAGCTGCAACTGGTAACAGTTGGACAGTTGGGGGCACCCCGTTGCTTGAGACTGGGGCAGATTGAAAAGAAGAAGAACAAATAGAAAGGCATGGTGTGAGCGCTTTACCACAAATACTCTTTAAAAATATGAGACATTCCTCCCGATTGCCCCTAGTTTAGAACAAGGAAATTCGAAGGGAAATTCGAAAGATGGAATTGGAAAAAGGCCCAATTAATTAATGATTTTATTTATATTATCTTAAATATGTATATTTTAATCTTGAATCATCTATTGAGACTGGCATAGATTAAAAAGTTGAATAACAAATAGAAAGACATGGTGTAAGCGTTTTACCACAAATGCCTTACAAAACTATTAGAAATTCCTTCCAAAACGCAAGATACTGACTTAAAAGTGAAATTAGATAGGAAATCCGCAATAACGAATTAACGAATATTGCGATCATATTCTATGTTACTAATTTCGAACGAAGGAAATACGAAGGGAAATTCGCAAGATGGAATTGCTTAAAGGCTTAGTTAAATATTATTCTTATTTGTATTATCTTATTTTGTTCTTTAGGCTACAATTATAATTAGGGTATGCAAGCTTCGGATTGAGCATAAGTTTGCTTTATTTTCAGCCTTTTTATAGCGTAATGCATTTATTTAATAAATTCATATACAACATATAAAAAAAATTCTGCACAATGCCGCCAGGCACATGTATCTTAGCCTGGGACTTGGGAGTTGAAGTTGGTCTACGACACGCACCAGGAAATTGGCAGTTGAATGGGCAGTCGCCTGGGCAGCCGCTAGAGGATTGTAAACAATTTTATGAGCTCGACTGCAATAATCTACGCAATTTTATTGACACTTTGCTTTTTGTTGTAATTCATGCGTTTGTTTGGGTGTTTATCGCGCCGCGGGCGATCTTCTGCCTGGCAGCAGCCAGCTTCGTGCCCTTCGGTTGTAGCCCCGACTTTCTCCATGGGCCCCAATCTATCAGCACCGATAAGCAGCTGGTTTGTCTTGTCTGTTGAGTGGCTGACATGGGAATGCTGCAGGCTGTCCCCATTTCAACTAGGCGCAGGTGCCACAGCCCAAAGCCCTATCTGATTGTCACCTAACGTTTGACTAATGAACTATTCGACGGGCTTTACTTGGTAGTTGGGAATTATCTTTTTAGTTTTGTTGTTGTTATTTTTTTTGGGTATTTTGTGTGCCAACTGCCATTTTCTTCGTGTGCAGTAGCTGTCTCTGGCCATTTTAGATAACCCTATCTAAATGTCAGTCTTGAGTAAAACAAGCTATCGGTTTATGGCATCTGTGCTACTTAATTGAGCCACTGCCACACTAAAAGCCGAAAGCAGCGACCATATATATAAAACGCTTTTGCATAATTAAAACCCCTTGAAATGCAACGAGTTATTGGATACCTCCCTCCATACCCATGTTCCATGCCCCATGCCCCGCGCAGGCTTCAACGCTCGTCGTGTCCGTTCGACTCGCTCATGTTGTCATTTTAAATTTTAATCGCTTGTCATAAACTGCAATCGCATTAATTTCCATGCCTGACATGCAATTATATGTAAATAAATATTTATTTTTAAATTTCCAATTTATTTATTTACAGCTTTTATTGCTGCGTCTACGAATTTATTCTATATATTAAAAACCATATTGCCGTTTATGACTTGTATTGATTTAGTGCCACATTTTTAAAGCTTCTTCTCCAAGATAATAAACGGTCAAATAAGTGCCGTTTAGGTAATTCAATGATTATGGTATTTTCAATGAATATTTAAACATTTAGCTTTATGCATGTTCATAAATAAGTATAATAACATTTATTTACTCTTTACTCTTTCAACCATTTCAACTCTTTATGCTTTTCTATGTTAACTTCTTAATTCTTTTTAATTAATTGACATTCCTTTTGCTTTTTTTCTAAGCAGAAATGTTTAAAAATAAACTGTGTTTAATTTATAGCGATTTTTTACACTTTTTATCTCACATTCTCAAATTGAAGAACGTAATTATTAACCTTTAACATTTTCACTCATGAAAGTTATGTGAAGAAAAATATACAAATTATTCACGAAGTCCGTCCGAAAAGGGAATGTGAATAGGTACGTAAGCATCTTTATTTTTTAGTTTTATTTTTTCCTTTTGTTTTTCGGTATTTCGATGTTATTTATGAGTGTCTATTTTTCAGGGAATGCTGTACAGTGAAGCGTGACTAATCAGGCCGCGCTTCAGCTACGAAACTTTTGCCGGCTGCTAATTGCCGTGAAGGCGCCGCCACTGTCCATAAGCCCGAATGCATATACTATATACACATGGATTGGGTATATGGATTCTGAATCATTAAAGCCAGCGGCAATGCAAATTGCAGCAACAAGTGCAGGATTTTTAGCACTCCTCCTCCCTCCACCCCGGCCAGCGATCCCAGCTTAATTATCATAGCGCACAAATGCAGCGCTCCGAATGCGCGTATTCCGAGTTGTGTGTACAACCAATCAGCGTATGCAAGGCGCTAAATGAGCAGCCAGTGGACTCCACTGACCAGTCGGCCAGGCTGCCAAGTGTCACCAGCCAGCAGCAGCAGGAGCAGGAGCCAGGGGGCTGACGGCGCGGTTAAAGTGTTGCGCTAATTTTATATGCAAATTATGGCAAAAGCGCGGCTTGTATGCTAATTTGGACCCAACTCCGACTCTGGCTCTGGTCCAGACTCCGCTCTCGATGGAGCTGCAGCAGTCTTGCCTCAATTCACCATCCTGCACTTAACACTCTTTTTAATGATGTGTAGTCCGAATGCATATGCCAAATATTTGGGGAATGCTGCCAGTTGGCAGTTGACTGTTTACTGTTTACTGCTGCTGCTGCAATTCGTCATCGACTGTTTGGCTTTTATCTTGCGCAAAGTGTGAAATTTTGACGCAACGTCAAAGCAATTTTTCGCTTCACTTTGCCAGATATGTGGATCAGAGTAGCAGCCTTCTCTGCCGGGCTGCACCTTTCACCAGACGCTGACTTGTCCCAAGACAGCGTCTGTTAATGATTTTTGAATACATCATGCTGGGCCCGCTTTAACACAGACTCACAATACACAGGCACAAATTTATGCATTCTACTCTTGCCAACTTGTCAGGCTTACATATATGTGTGTACATTTTTTATTTTTTTTTTGGGAACTGCCACATGAAAATCTGTTGCGGTGTCTTAATTAGAACTGCCACGTACAACGGCCGGCTTTTTTCCTTTTAATTTTTGTTTTAGTTTTATTTATTTTTTGTTGCCAAAAATGATATTATAAGTATATGGTGTTAAACTTTCACGACATTTTTGGAGCATGTTTTATGTGCGGATTTTGATATAAATAAATATTTTTTAATTGGTATACCAATGCTTAAAAATATCTCATAATTAACAAGCTGCCAGAATGAAGTATTGCGGAAACTGGGTCAATTCAAAATACCTACGTATAGATGAATAACACAATTTTTTGGTAAAACCACTTTTGCAATCTGCCAACATGTAAATAAAGCTACATTTTTTCATGGAATATGTATATTTTTTTTTGTTAGAAAAAAAGTAACAACAATTTATGAAACTTTATAGAAAACGCCAAACGCAAATCAAGTGTTACTAAATTGTGAATAATGACTCCATTCGGCCAAAAGCAGTGCCACACACACACACACGAGTACACGCACACGCACACTGCTGTAGCTGCCCAATTTTATGTTACAAAAGGCCAATACAAACTCTAACGAATCTAATCAAAAGATAAACTCACGCGCAACGACGAGGAAACCCTCCTAACGAGTATTTTAAAGTTTCAATCAAAAATTCGTTACACTTTGCATGCGCTGCAGGGAGTGCGGCACGGGGCACGGGGTACGGGCATGCGGCACTGGACCAAGGGGCATAGGAGTGAGCTGTTGTGGAGATGGCAGCTCGTGCAGCTAATAAGCCGTGGCTTACATAAATGCGGCAACAATCAACATTTTGGCCAGCGGCCGCAAACATGAAATTATGATTTTTATTGAGGAATTCGCACAGCGGGCGGTGTAATTAATCAGCGGCATGGAACGAGGCGGCCGGCAACGTTGCGTCTGCGGCGCGAAACGGGCACAGGTCGAGTGTCAGCCAAGGCGGCAACCAAGACCCAATGACCAGAACCCAGAACTGCAACTGAAGCTGGCTGCCGCATTAGCTGCCTGCCTGCCTGCACAGGTAAGAGGTCAATGCGTTGCGTATGTGTAATTTTGTTGAATTCCTCCGCCCGCCCGCTGTGAAAGTGAGTTTAACGGTAGTTTGCCTAACAACAATTCCAGGCGATCAACGCTGTTTGATTTAAATTGTTGCTATTGTTGTTATTGTTGTTGTCGTTGTTGCTGTTTAGGTGTTGGCCCACACACATACTGACACGCACGTACACAAACATAACGGCAGCGATATTTTCAATCAAGGTGTCCAGTGTTTTGCGAGTGCCGCCGCTTGTTAGCCTGGCCAAAAGCCACTTAAGCCGTACCTAAATTACGCCAAAATCGATTGCAATTGCGTTGATTATCGCCCGCTGCAGCCGCAATTGCCAAATTTATCGGCCGCAAATGCATTTCACGCGATATTTATGTAGTTTGGCCCAAAATATATGTGTATGTATATTGGTAACAGCAGCTTGATGCTATGGACTATGGCCAGAGCCACCGGTTTTAAGAGGCCGCCGCGCTTATCGCGGCAATTACAACGAGAGATTTATATGAAACCTCGTCGCTGCCGTCGCCATCGCCGCTGCCACCCTCGGCCAAAGGCTCCGGCTTGGGGTTTTGGGCCAGCACCCGCACGAGGCGCACAGTTCAAACGCCGCCAGCCGGCAGCCAAAAACGTTCCAGCTAATCGACAACTGTTTTTTCTTATTTTTTTTCTTCTGTTTTTGGGCCACAAATGTCGAATTAAATGGATTTTTATTGAAATCAAGTTGCGGGCCAATTGGCAAAAGGCTGCAATTGTGGACAAGCCGATTGCGGTCGATAGATTCTAATTGGCTGAGATTGTGATTGAGAAACGGACGAAATGATTTCAAATTGTAACAGTCAGAAATGCTAAGCTTCACATTCTTCTTCTAACTCTTGCACGGGCCATTCACCATGCTCGCTCACAACGCGACCTTACTTCAAAGATTTCTGACGTCACATCATTAAATACACTTGAAAGCTTTGATTATTTTTGCTGGACATTGCTGAGCTGCTCAAGGTACTAGTCAATAGAGCCATCAGACCAATTTGATGCACTTTTGTCATCCAATATTATTCACGGCCTGGTGCG